CATCACTCAGGGAGCACTTAAAACAAGGTGGGACTGAAGGGCTCCACCATCAGACAGTATTGATGTGTTCCAGCATGTTTACAACATCTGGCTCTTGGCTTCTTCTGTCATTTTTGTTCATTGCATGCGTCTCTAGAAGATGCCACCGCTTCGTCCGACGATTGGGAGGCCGCGTCGCAGAACACAATCAACCAGCTTGATGTGCAGAAACTTATGTGGTTGTTTTGCAACAGCCCAGTAACGCTTGTGCAAGATTTAATCAGGCAAAATGAATCGGCGTTGCGTAACTGCATGTTGACTAAGCATTGCTCAAATAAGAAAATGCAGATAAAAGGCATCTGATGTTGAACTTTACTCCACCGTCCCAGCATCACGACTACAACTAGAGGGAATAAAAATGTAGTTCAACTGTTTAATTAGACGTGTAACAAAGACATTCATGTAACACAAAAAGTGTTGCAATACAGAGTCTTGACATCTGAATTACACAGTGCAACTGGAGTGCACTTATTGTTTAATTGTGTCTGTTTACATGTGATGCATTATGGTTTACTTTGCTGCACACAGTGGCACGCGCACACGCACACACACACACACACACAGCAGCAGCCAGTATAGCCTAACACATGTCGTCTGCGTGGAAGTTCTTCGGCGTGAGTAAAGAAAACATAAAGCTCGCAATTTGGAAGTCCAAAATAAGCCGTGAGTAAAGGATGGGAAAAGTTACAAGAAATCTATTGTGTATGCTGCTGATTATAGCTCCCCGGAATCAGCAGGTCGGAAAAAAAGAGTCAGAAATAGCATCTCTATGTAACATCCATCACCGAGGAGTCTGTACCTCTGCTGCTGCTCCTTCTTGAGCTCCTCCGCTGTCAGGTTGTAGAATTCTGGAGGCAGCTCGAAGCGCTGGGCGTTGGGAGAGGCTCTGAACGCCTGAGGCTGTCTGTCCAGCTGAGCTCTGACCGGCTCGCCTCTCTGCAGACGATCCCTCCTCTCCTTCATCAGCTCCAGGGCATCGGGACTGTACTCCAGTAAGACCAGGAACTCCTCTTCCTCCTCTGATCTCCAGCAAAGGCAAACACAAATCAGAATATGTAACAACTGACGGAATGTTGTCGGAAAGTTGCGTTTGCCAGGTTGACTTTTTAAAGGATCTGTCGTCTGTTGATAAGGAACTTGTTAGGATTAATTTACCTTGACCCTCTACAGGAAGCATAATGCTAGTGAAGTCCAAGGCCTCCAGGAACTCTCTACTGCCCTCCACACAACGAACTTTCTCCTGAAATACATAAAAAAATGGGAATGATATAAAAGGAACGGGGATGAGGTCCACAGTACTGAGAGACTCTGGTTTCAAACTCACCTGGTACACCTTGTTGCTGAGTTTAATCTTCCTGTATTTCTCCTCTGTGGGATTCTTGCATATATTCTCAATATATCTATTGACAAAACAATGACACATGAAGTAACGTAGTTGTTTAAAACAGAATTAATGAGGATATTCAACTCTGTGACAACAGTAGAAGTCAAAAGAACTTAAAGCTACTACAAGGAGCTTTTATTTTCTGTTCATCTTGGCGGTCCCTGTGGACAAAAGTGGTATTGTTTCAGAGCACCAGAGTCCTTTTAGAAAACCTCTCATTTTACTGCAGCAGGGTCTGACAGTCTGTCCCTCTCAGTCCTGGTTCTTGTTCTCCCGTGTCTCCCTTCCCTCCAGCAGACCCAGCAATATGACCTGGGTCTCCAGTAGCGTGGTGTCAGTGTTGGCTCAGAACGGGGACTCTGCTCCTCGCTGGAGGAGGAGGAGGAGGAGGAGGAGGGGCTTCTGCCAAGCACTGAGCTCTGTTCCTAACGCCAGAGCTTCTGACAGCAGGTTGAAGGCGGCACGCTGGAGTCTAAGCTGAAGAAGTTTCTGGTGAACCGGTATGATATTGTCTGATTTCTCTCTGATGGTCTCGTTTATTTATGTAGGTCATATAGAGGCGTCAGTATTATATTGAGACTGTTTCATAACCAGTTAAAAATTCCTCATAGTAGCTTTAATGTCAGCATAACGATCAACCATTGCCGCGTGTCTTACTTGCTTATGATGTCCACAGCAGCCTTCACTTTCTCTCTGTCTTTGTTAAATGTGTGGACCATCATAACAGAGGCCTCGACCGCGTCCTCCTCAAACCGCTGACAGTAAAAACAAGAGTACATCTTTTAACCAACGACACTCGGTGGAATAATATTCAGATTAAATTATCATGTTGCAAACACGTTCTAATTTGAGCTGAAACAACAACAAGTGACAGTATCTTCAGACGTACCATTAAAATGGCCTCTTTAATGTGTACTTCCCTCTCTCTCTTAGTTAAAGTGGCTCCAGTTAGCGGACAGGTGAAATACACACCTGACACTGACAAACAGGCGGGATCTATCACTGGCACTTTGGATCTCTGGAAAAGATTTGTCATTCATGAATATCGTCAGAATGAATAGTGATCACTGAGAGCCATGTATTATGTTTATGAAGTAATTTCAGAAACCTTGATTCAAAGAAACAAATCACTGACATACATACCTCTGCTGCATCAGCCTTTTCTTTATCGGTCAGTGCAGCCGCCTCCAGTTCTCTTCTAACTACAAATACAGACGAATCATGCAAAACTAAATTGTTATTCTTTAATCAAACACTCATATAATAGTCTAAAGAATCATTGCACAAATATGTTGCTGCTCATCTAAGCACTATCTCTGAACAGAGGTACCTCAGAATCAGGTGTTACACGTCATGTATCCAGTGTTGGATGTGGGTTGTTTGTCTCACCCTGGTTCCTGATGGCGTCCTGAGAGGTGTGGACCTTCGGCCGGGGGTGCTGCTCTATCCTGGCCAGAGCTGCGGCTCCGGCCCTCTGGGATCCTTCGCTGGGAACATAGCGGTTGTGCTTGGCACTGGAGCTGCTCTGCGCCGCCTCGGCCTTGGCACTACAGTGTTATGAGGACAGAAGAGCGAAGTGAAGAGGGGTACGTTGTGGCTCCTTGTTGGGCCGCAAACCTCCATCCCAAACAGACACAAATGCTTTAACACATAAGAAGTGGAATTTGCTGGAACGTGTTCTGAATACACTTGAAAGGAAATTAAAAGCCTTGAAGAAATGGTTTTATATTAACAAGTTATCATTAATTTTAAGCAATTCAAAATATGTTTGAAATTACACATAAATAATGTAACAACAAAAGTGTCTAAAGCCATTGCAATATTATATAAAACTTTTTCGCAATATATACTGTATTGTTCTCTCATAAATCCATATGAAATATAATTAACCAGATTTTCGGTTAATTAAAAACAAATCTCTTTAATTGAATGCCTTACTTTAATTGTGTATTTTTAAGTGCATCCTTTTTGGGAAATGTTAAATAAGCACTATTAGCTAAATTGCTACCACAACTAATGCAGGTTAGCTAGCTTGGCTACTTCACATGCTAACGACAACAAAGCGTCACTTTACGTTACTGAGAGCATTGGCTAAATAAGATTGTTTAGGGATTAACTGTTATCTTAACCTGACATTAGATAGGCACCTCCCGCTGTGCCGAGTACTAGCTAGTTATATAATCTAGCTGCTAACATCTAACGTTAGCTCATTTTAAGCTACCTAACATACAATGAAAAACCACTAATCAGCACCATTCTAGTTAGCTTTACGGCATGCTAATAGTGACCCAATATTCATCAAATTATCAGCAGCTAGCTATTTGCTAACTCAATATTTCAAACGTTAGACAGCTGTTAGCTGTAGCTCTACTAACGTTAGCTGTGGAAAAAAAAAGTAAAATTTTCTATTTGCCTGGCTTCTTCTGTTAACTTCTTCCCAGGTCCCGCAGATTTAAACTTAATGTCTTTCTTAATGTCTTCCAAAAACTTCTTCATTTCCGTTATAGCTGTCACAGAAAAAATAAGTAATCCGATCGCAGAAACAGAAATAGATGAAAGAGCTCCTAACTAGCTAACGATAGGTCTTAGCTGGGAGGACCAAAACAAACGTGTGTCAGCTGATACAAAACGGCTTCCGCCTCATAAACGTCTTCTTCTCTGGTTTGTTTTAATGGCAGGTTGGTGCGATAGCGCCACCTAGTGCTCCGGAGTGGACCCGTAGATCATGTCAATCAATCCTGTTTTTTTGTTTGTTATTTTTTTTAATTGCTTTGGATATTTTAGAAATTGGGGTTTGAATTTCTTGTGAATGGTGTATGCTTGTGCACTACTTTATTGTTTTGTGTGAATAACAAAGAGCATTAATAGAAACGTGGGGGAAATTAAAAAAATGTCCCGAGTCACTGCCCTCCAGTGGCCACAGCGAGGCATTGCAACATAAATGTAAAATTAATCAGAAGCAAAATCAATCATTCATCAGGTGTAAATTACATATTGGCAGGAAATCTGGAATAATATATAATATAAAATAATAATAGATTAAAAAAAATGTAAAAAGTCTGTCAGAGTGAGAAGTAAAAGAGCTAAACGTAGGAAAGCTTAGCTTAAGCCTTATGACATACATGACTAATTGCTACTTTATGTACCATTAAAAAAAGTTAAATGTGAGACTTAAAACTGGTTCTGGTAGCCGAATAGCAAAGGTCCATTACAGTTGCAAATGGCTTTATTTAAATGACACGGATTAAATATCCAGATTAAAATATATTCCTACAGTCATGATACAGTTATCATTGTTTGTTTCTGTAAACCGCCAGTAGGCTAAAACCAAAAATGAAGAAGAAGTCTTAGATTTACGAGACGCACTTGAAAGCAGCATCTCTGCTGAGGAGAGGGCTGCGTCCAGCTCGCGCGCCCCGCCACTTGTGCCACGTCAAACGTGACGTACCAGGAGGTGTAGTCCGGGTGGGAGGAGTCTTAAAAAAAAAATACAGTACAAGAAAAACCACTCAACGGACTGGCTGGCATTAATGGTCTTAAACTCCAAGAGGAGCACTTGTGAAAAGGTAAGACGAGTTTAATATTACAAGTCATATTATCTTTGATGTATTCTACCTGCTTTGCTAACTGTTAGCTCCACAGTTAGCCGGTTAGCTCTTAGTATCTGCTGGTGCGGCTGTCAACTCGCGTGCTGCACCACCACAATGATACATGCAGTTTGTATAGAAACAAATCAATACATAGCACAGCTAAGTAACAGCAGTCTATTTCATTACACCTCGCTAATACTAAATGTCCTCTGCTACGAGCGAAGAGGCTTATACCTGCTGTGTTTTACATCCTCTTTAAACCTCTTCACAGAGACTCTTGTGAACATTTATTTTGAAAATATTTGTGAATACCGGTGCTAAAAGTTCCCCTCCAGTGGTGTGATGATTTCCTGGTTTCCAACCAGAGTGAATGAACATCAGAGTGGTAGTCAGTTCAATTAAAGCTTGCCCTTACAGTTCTAGTACAAGATGTAAATGTTCTGCTATGTGATGCATTGTGTGTTCACTTGTTGTTCTAGTTCTACAGTATATAATAAATACCGAGGTCATTACTCTCCAGAATAACTCCACCCTCCTAAAAGTAGTTTCGACTAACCATCGAACAAAACAAAATGATATCTCTCCTTTAATGACCAGGTGGCAGGTGTGTGACGCCAGTGGGGAATATACCAAATTCCTTTTATGATGACTAATAAGTGTTTTTCTTTTTGTTTTATTTCCTAAACACAATCAAATGTAGTCAAACAATATTAGAATCAGCCTTAACATTTGTAATATGTGTGTAGTTGTACAGTGTTAACTCCTCTTCACATCATTGTAACCCCAGAAATGTTATAATATAATAATAATGAATATATACATATATAAATTCCAGAAATATGGCTGAGGACATGACCGTAGTATCCTCTTAAGTAACCACTCTTTTTTTTTTTTTTTTTTGTTTCAGAGTTAATCAGAAGAACTTTTCATCATGGACCCAAACGCCAGCGGACTCACCAAGAGGTTGGCTGAAGCCGGCCAGTCGCACCTCCTGCAGTTTTGGAAAGAGCTGGGCCCCAAGGAGCAGAGCGACCTGACCCTCGACCTGCAGGGGATGGACTTTCAGGAGATCAACGGGTTCTTCAAGAAGACCACGGAGACTTCCGGCAGCAGCAACCAGGAGATGGACGCCCGCTTGGAGCCGGTGCCCCGGGAGGTCCTGGGGAGTGTGACGAGGGACCGGGAGAGCCTCAAAGACTGGGAGGAAGCAGGTGAGCTCCATCGACAGCTTCTGTCTGAGTACTCAATCTTTACACCTTTATTGGACCAGTGTAACACATGTTATAAGGAAACAAAGAGGGTATTCTTGTCAATATTTTATTGGATTTATTACAATGTAATTACCAATTGTTAGACTTGAAAGACTTGCCTAGGAACAATCACGCTAGTACTTTCCAAGGAAAGGAAATATCTCCTGGAGTCAGACTGAGAAGCCTAAAGGGGATTAAAACAAGGTAATTCAGATGTTTGACGTGGAGATGGGGCAGCAGGCGATCTGGTAACTTGTGTTATTGATATTATCAGATGATTGAGTTCCCACAAAACAAAAGCAACATTTTAAATAAAAACTTTAAAATGAGTATCATCAGAAACTCCCTCTTTGTTTCACCGTGTGGTTGTAGAAACTCACAAACGGTCTCCTGCGTAGATTTGAAATATGAGTAAGTCGGCTTGAGTTGTTCATTATGCTCTTGCGCAATCTCCTCTTTGCAGTGGGGGTCTGAGCATTTAGTGAGGTTTTCCTGGGGGAGGCGGAGAACATCTGGTCCTGATTTGTGTCTGATGTAAATCGAGTTTCTGCTTGACCCTCATGAGGTCACTCTGCTCTGTCAGTACCAAATACCGTGTGTGTGTGTGTGTGTGTGTGTGTGTGTGTGTGTGTGTGTTTGTAGGTTTCGGTGGGTAGTCAAAGTCTAGCAGGCCCGCCCAGTTTGCTGGTATAAACCTTGTCTTTTGGCACTTGTAAGAAGAAGCAGTATTACATATCAAGTCACGTAGCAGCAGTTTATGTAAGACAGACTGGAACCCTCGTAAACTGAACCACAATCAAAGACTCGTGCAGAGTCGTCAGATTCCAGTTTAGGGCTAATTTATTACGTTGCCAAAGTCCTGTTGGAGTGGCCATAAAACGTTGGGCAATACATTTTATTAATACGTTTTATCAGTGTTGTTTTAGTTAAAGTTGTTGTTATTGATCTAAGATGTCCTTACATTAGCAAGAAGAATGCACTATGACCCTTATTGGAGATGAGATATTGTGTTAGTGCAATGAGATTGTGCGTCATGTAGCAGCATGTCGGTCTAGATGTGTTTCAATATCGTAAATACATTTGACAGTAGAGCTGCAATTAACGATTGCTTTCGTTGTCAATGAATCTGATGATTATTAATGTTTGGTCTGTAAAATGGTGAAAAATGTTTTTCCTAAATGTCTTGTTTTGTCCACAACTGAAATATGTTCAGTTTACTGTCACAGAGGACTAAAGAAACCAGAAAACATTCACATTTAAGAAGCTCGAAACAGAGATTTTAAACTTTTCTTTCCTTAAAGAATTACTCAGAATGATTAATTGATAAGTCGCTGCAGCTCTGCTTCATAGGACCGATATTCTCGCTACTATTTATGACAAACTGTGCTCTGTGCGCCGTCAGGTCTACACTGCATCTCTCAGAGTAAAGTGGCGGTCCTGCTGCTGGCTGGGGGCCAGGGAACCAGACTGGGGTTCTCTTACCCCAAAGGCATGTACGACGTGGGGCTGCCGTCCCACAAAACCCTCTTTCAGATCCAGGCCGAACGCATTTTCAAACTTCAACAGCTGGCTGAGCAGAAGCACAAAATCAAGTGCTGTCTTCCCTGGTAAGACGTCACGTTGTGCTTCGGGGAGAGATGACTGAGGCTTTTTAGTTCGTGTGCCTGTCGGCTGAATTGCTGCTTTATTTGAAGAAGAACAAAAAAAGGGATTTAAGGAACCAAATACTGTCTTTCTGTTCATTATTGGACCTGCAACCATTTGCTCCAGTTGTGTTTGCATGATGATTAACTTGAATCACTGCCTCAAAAGGAAAATTACTGGAAAAGGATTATCTCCCCGTGGAGCGGATCAAAGGACAGTTTGAAAGTTTGAGAGATGGAGATAACAGGAGGGCAGTGGAGTGCATAAAGTCAGCTGACATCGTAGTTAGGGTTTAACGGTCCCAAATGGCTTCATGACGTCATCCTCAGCAGGTCTGATTCTGTAGAGAAGTTGTTACAGTTTTACTGTCCGTCATATACTTAAACTTTATACATCTCTGGCTTGGTGACAGCAGTTTTGTTGTAAGTTTCGTTAGTTTCAGATACTGACATTGTCTGCAGCGTTTAAAGTGTATCTATCCTAAGCATGCATCCCCCAATCCCTCAGCTACCCGGTTCACACTTTTATAAGTTATTTAAAATAGAGAGGAAAACGAGTAAACAACCTCTGTGTTGCCTTCAGGTACATCATGACCAGCGGCAGGACAATGCAGTCCACCAAGGACTATTTCTCCCGAAATAGCTATTTTGGCTTGGACAAGAACAACATCATCTTCTTCCAGCAGGGCATGCTACCAGCCATGGACTACAATGGCAAGATCATCCTGGAGAACAAAGGGAAGCTCTCCATGGCCCCTGGTAAGCCGGCTCAGGATTTGCGACTTCTGGCTCCATTGGCAGCGTGAATTCACAGCTGTGTGTTTATTATTTGCCACGTTGAGGTTGTGTGTTGTAAAACGAGTGTCCCCTGTGTCTGTATTTCAGATGGGAATGGGGGTCTTTACCGAGCTCTGAGGAACCAGGGCATCATGGACGACATGGAGCGGAGAGGGGTTGAATTCATCCATGTGTACTGTGTAGATAACATCCTGGTCAAAGTGGCGGACCCCTCCTTTGTTGGTTTCTGTGTGAAGAAGGGAGCAGACTGTGGAGCTAAGGTGGGTCGGGTCACACCTCTGGCTTTTTCCCGTCTTCTTTACTGCGTGAGGCTTGAAGCGCCTTTTTTAAATGGTCTTGTTAATTACTGTCAAAATTTGAATCTCCAACAGATTCCATTAAATGAATCAGGACATTGTAATTAGTACTGTACAAGAAGGCTGCAATCCACATCTAAGTTAAGATCATTAACCTACTAACCATCCACCAATCTACGTCATCTGCAATACAAACTCTGTGACAAGGAAACAAGTACGAGCCAATCGGAGGCAGAGTAGGGCGGGTCTTTGCGGAATGTGGGTGTGTAAAAAAAATGTACGCGGTATTATCCGCATCAGATGACAGTCGGCGTGCCCCGAACATATTTTCGACACCTTTTTAAAGTCTATATCAAGTGTACGCTATATTTAGAATATTTCAACTGCTTCACCTTTCTACAGCCCTTTCTGGCGGGGGTTCCATATCTTATATCTGTCTATGCTCTCTTCAAAGCCACCAGACTTCATTGACAGAAACAGTCATTTTTACCGTCAGCAACTCCCGTGTTCTACGAGGTAAAATTACTGTTTTTTGTCAAAGGAGACTTTTGGCTTTGAAGAGAGCAAAGATCGATATACCGACTTAACTTCCCCGTTGGAAACTTCTGTCTGACAACAAGGTACAGCGGTGAAAATATTCTAAATATAGAGTACACTTAAACTGATATTGACATTTTTTAGGTGTCTAAAATACGTTTTGCTACAGTACATTGCTTTGCTGGTTCTTCTCTAAACTCAATCTACTGTTGGTAGTACACTGACTGTGAATAAGTACCTCATACAACCACACTTCAAAATACCCAAACTATCCCTCAGATTCATTTTGGCGTTTTATTTTTAAAGATCTTAAAGATGTGGTTTCATGGTGAATCATGAAGTTGCCTGAAGTGTTAACTTTACCTACATTTATTTTTGTGATGATAATGGTCTTCAGTTTAGTTCTTAGTTATAAAAACTCATTCTTAAATGCCAGATGCTACACTTTAAGAGAAGAAAGATTAACAAAGGTTGACGCAGCAGCAGGTTATGAGCTCATATATTCCTGTCATAAAGGGACAATGATCCCTCAATATTGTTCACCTGCAACACTGATGAGCTCAGCTACCTTTCACCAGACCAGGAAGTAACAGTAATATTGTAAGGATGCATGCACACAATGATTATAACTGATCAAATAGGGCGAAGAAACACCCGTATTAGTTGTACAAATATTGATATTTAATAAGTCTGCAAGTGAACAAACTGTCAGCAGTGACGCCATAAAGTCTGATCAGTCAGTCTAGTTTTTTTATTTTATTCCAGGGGTTCCTAAAGTACCACAGATGTCGAGTGTGTGCCTTGAATTGAAACTGATGGTCAGTTTGCTGTAACAACAGTTTAACTGCCCTTTTCTAGACTGCTGCACCTTCCGCAACTCACCACCGGGTGGCGACATTGTCCACTTGTGTCTCCTCGTCTTCTTGAGCAATAAATTCATGACGGCTTTCTAGGAAATGTGAGAGTTGAGCCCAGTGCCTTGCTTAATAAACTTTCATCATGGTATCAGATAGCATGAGAGTGATGAAAAGAAAGCAGATCTTTTTTCCACAACGTTTCCTTTGGCTGGAGTGAACTTTAATTGTGGGAAGGAAAAAAGCTTTTCAGAGTACAATGGTTCAATTGGAAACTTTTTCTTTCTCCACTAGTCAATAAACCATATTTATGATTTCATGCTTAATTATAACTTTTCCAGTCAACACACTGCACATGGAATAAATAGTTGTGATGCAACTCACAGAGCAGGTCCATCTGTTTGAGATACGTTTGAGTCTTGTGCTTTGTTTTTACAGTGACTTGTACTCTCTGATGCATTTAATTAATCAAGAAAAGGCACGTTATTAGCAGG